AGGAGCCTTATCTATCCCTCCTGACACACTGGAGAAAATAGAACAGGGACAGGATCCCTCTAATGTTAAGGAATTGCAACAAGTTTTAGGAACTTTAGTATACTGGCGTAAACATGTCCCTGGATTTTCTATCATTGCTCGACCCCTTTACAATTTGCTGCGAAAAAAGAAATCATGGGAGTGGACAAATCAACATTCTAATGCCCTGGAGACACTGGTAAAAGAATTGAGACTATTTCAGCAGCTAGGTCCTGTACATCCCTCTGATCCAATTCATGTGGAATGGGGATTTAATGAACACGGCTCTCACTGTAATGGTTGGCAAAGAGGACCTGAAGGGCCTGAGCGTCCACTTGAGTTCAGCTCAAAGTCCTTTAATGATACTGAATCGCGATACTCAGACCTGGAAAAGGGACTATTGTCTTTGGTAGGAGCTGTAAAGCGAGTGGAACAAATAAGAAAAAAAGAGAGTGTAATCATTCGGGGACCTTTCCGCCTCCTAGACACAATTTGTAAAGGGACGGTGCTGCCTGCTGGCATTGCCCAAAAGCCCGCGGTCCGTAAGCGGAACGCCTGTCTGGAAAGCATCCATGGCGTTATGCCTGTTACAGAGGGCAGCACTAAACTGTCTAAACTGCAAAAAGATAGAGATAATACTTTGCGGTTCCCAGCTCCTCCAAGCAAACCATCTCCAGTTCGGGAGGCGCTTCCTCTAACAGAAACCAGCAGCCTCGAAGGGGTGGGGTTCACTGCTCCGTCATCCGACAGGCGAAACAAGGAGTGGGATTATAACGCAGTGGCGCTGGAAGTGGCCACGGGAGAACGGGTCAGCGAAACAGGTCAAGGAAGTGCACAAGTCGGGGAGCTTAGGGCAGTCTTACTAGCTGCACAACACGGTGCTGACTAGATTTACACTGACTCGTATGCTGTTTTTGAAGGAGCTACCGAGTGGGTGAGCCACTGGGCAGCCATCGACTGGCAGGTAAACAGAGTCCCAGTCTGGCAAACTGACAGCTGGAAACAACGGCTAAAAATAGGAGAGCAAAGGATACTGCACATCGGTTGGGTGACAGGGCACGATCAACCAGCCTCTGCTGCTGCCCAGTTCAATCAACAAGTTGATAGTCTCACACGGCTACACAACATTGATATTGTAAGCAAGTGATGAAATAGAATGGGAATGTTTACTTGAATGGTTACATGTAAAACGAGGGCACACTGACTGAGCTGATTTGTATCGGGAAGGCATAGCCCGAGGGTGGCCTGTGTCAACAAAACTGTGTGAACAAGTGGTCAGTGCCTGTTCACAGTGTCGCCTGCGATCATCCAAGTAAGGCGCCTCCCATGCACATCTGAAATAAAAAAAACACTTTGGCACACCTGGCAAATTGATTACATAGGTCCATTGCGACCCTCAGGGGGTAAAAAACGTGTATTAGTAGGGGTGGAAGTTGTTTCAGGAATTGCCATGGAAACAGCTATCCCGGCTGCAACTGGAGATAACACAGTTTACAGCCTGAAGGAATGGTTCAGCACCCTCCCCCTTCCTGAGGAGATTCAAAGTGACAACGGAACACACTTCACAGCCACAGTGGTACAAGACTGGGCAAAAGAAGAAGGAATTCGGTGGGTATTCCATACTCCATACTACCCTCAAGCAAAC